ATTCAGGCGGTATGCAATGCGATGTCTGCAACCGATGGTACCATCAGCTTTGTACGGAGCTAAATACCGAGCAGTGCGCAGCACTGGCCTCTAGCGTCAGGTTGTTGTTCAGTTGTGCCAATTGCTTCAGCCGCCGGCAAGGCCGCACAGCCGGAAGTTTGTTGGGCCGATCTTTCTTGCAATTCGGCATTAGGAGCATTCGGTGCAGACTTCCTTGAACTGACTCTCCAAGTGCCTTTACACCAGTTTATGGTGTCTGACAGTGTTTGAATGAAACACGACAAACGACAACTTTAGACAATATTGTCAACATTTCCTCTGCTTCGAGGAAAAGATATCTTGGATCGATTAACGCGGTTCCTGGTCCAAGCGTCTTTGAGCGCTTATTGGTTAATAATTTTCCATTTTCCTCAGTATTGGTCCCCCTTTTGCACCCAGCTTTTGTGCGCTTTGATGGTCGTATTAACTGTTTTAGGGCATAACAGTGTTATAAATCATTCTGCTTTCCACCCTGATCGGTCCCGCATGCAACCGGGCTGTTGTTTCCTGAATGAGATCCATTCTGAGGTTATCGCACTATTGTGACGTCCACAGGCCTGCAATATACCAGATAACTGACATTCAGAGCGTTATGAGCATGCATTGTCCCTAGCAACCGATGGTACCATACAGACTTTGTCACGGAGCTAAATACACGGCAGGCGCCAGCACATGAGGCCTCTAAGCGTTAGGATATTTGTTGCGTTTAGTTGTTTCCAATTGCTTCTCATCCCGCCGGCAAGGGCGCACTACACACACACACACACATTTGTATGGCGCCGATCTTCTCTTTGCAATTTCGGCATTAGGATGCATTCGGTGGCAGACTTCCTTGAACACTGACTCTCACGAAGTGCCTGTATACACCAGTTATATGGAGTCTGACAGAGAGATTAAAACCGCTAGCGAATGGACACTTTATAGCACAGATTCCATGGTCAGATGTACAGAAAGGGCGTGACAAAATCAGCAAACCTGTCATCGATGACACAGAAACAGGAATACTCGGAACGCTGATAACCCTATAGAATTCAAGTAGATCCCAACTAACCACAACAACGAAGCACACAACAACATCCAGAAAGCGCACAACAGTCAACCTTTGAAACCTCGAGACGAACGCGAATATCTGAAGAAGAAGTAAAATATCTGATTGTTGAGATTTAAAACAACTGACAAAATTGACAGAAGTATAGAAATAAGAAGTTACCAAGGAAAATGTGAAGAATTTATAAGACACTACAGGGCTCCCACTCCTAAAGCAGTAGAGTCGGCAGTCAATGAACGCTTACGAAAGTAATGCGACTGATGGTAGCAATTCTATCTAATCTTGGATAGGCAAAACAACAGCGACGGATCCACAGCGTGTGGATGCATTAGTGTATTTGGTTCAACTCCACTAGATTTAGATGGAGGGGATGATTGTAGGTAGGGGGCACACAGGGATCACCACATTGCTGTAAGGAGGGAGTAACTAGGAACACGTCTGTTCAGATAGGCTTGGTTGTGATAATCTTAGTTATCGACGTACGCAATGGTTTTCAAGACGAGAAGCAAGGCTCAAGAATTCCTTCGCAAACCGTAGTCGTATGCAATACAGAAGTATATTCTCCATTTGGCGATCAAGAACCTTGAAACGTGCGCACTCATACGGAGATGGGTAGAGCACGGGTTCTGTACGCACGGCATACGACGCGCACAGAAACTGAAAGGGCAGGTATGCAAATCAGAATGAGAACACTTGCTGAATTCCGAGGGCTGAAATCTGGCGGCGGTGTTGGCCTGAACTGAAGAAAAGATGGTTGTCGCAAATCGCGTAAGCCACATAGTGAAGTCTGGATACACGTTCGCACAGTGATTTCTGAGAAAATCTAACGCCATTCATCAACGGGAAGCCTAAGAGATATGTAGCCGAAAACACAAGTTCAGCGAGGGCAACAACCTAGGTCTCCTTTGACCGGGTTGCGATGCCAGGAGAGAAGGATATTTGCTAGCTGTTCGGACGCAGTAGCCTGTGACTCGATATGGGATCGGTAATTGCGGCTTTCACGTTGACGATGAAAACGTTCAACAAGACCGATTTTATGCGTCTGGATGGTAGGCGGTCTTCCGCGCACTATGACAACACGCCGAGATAAACGATTGCAGGTCTCGAAAAGAGAGGCGAGAATTGCGAACTGAGGTCCCTCTGTCTGATTGTGATCCGTGGCTGTCGATGTGGCGCAAATACATCACAGATATCCAGTTTCATAACGACGGTCCGCGAAACAGTTATATCGGTGGACAATACACGAGAGTAAAGCGAGATACTGCTTGAGGCCGATACGTGTGAAACGGACGACGACAGGTCAGTCAAGTATTGGGAAAACCGTTGGAATGGAGGAAGTCGGTCCAACGAGATCAAGTGCACGATGTTTAAATCTAGCGTCGGGGTAACGCAATACTCGCCATAGGTTACGGGTGATCGTGTGCCGAGTATCTTGCTATTCTGACAAGTGAACACAATGCCTTTGCCCATTTTTTGGATGTAGAGAAGCGACATATTGTTGCCAAAATGTAGCGTCCAGTGATTACAACTTAGACCGTGGGGAGGGGGCTCGATGCCGGGTGGGAAAGGCCATAGCAGGTGATGGAAACAAGTCACTGAGCGAACTGTTTGACGGACATAGGAGGTACTGGGCTTTCCAGTCGACATGATCGAATATAGACCTTAGACTGCGGGAATTAAAACTAATAAGATGCAGTGACGAGCAATTTCAAAGTAGAATGCGTTTGTCTTCAAGTACTGACGAACTCAGATCGTCTTCTTGCTTGAGCCGCAATATCCCCGAGTTAACAGTTTGGCGTGAGAAATGATGGAGGTCGATACGAAACAACCCCCCCCCCCCCCCACACCACCCGCGCGCCGTCAAGCAAACAGCGTTGTTAATAGGCATCAACTCTGAGACGATAATGTACCTGCCGTTGATCTTGTGATATGTTAGTCATTCAGAGAGATGGGACTCTCACGATGTGAAAATCGATCTGGAGGAACGTGACGCGAAGGCAAAAAGCTAGTCGGTTTGTGGACTTCCGTAGGTAGTGAAGTTACGATCCTTCAAGTAGATAATCCCGGAAGTGCTACATGGCAAGGTAAATAGTCCAGAGTATCGCGTACCGTGAACTGTGCTGTAATCTGTAGTGTTGAACAGTCCTGACAGCACTATTATGGAGAAAAAAGACAAAGGTTGATGTTGGTTGTTGATCAGCTCGCTGTATAAACGCGCTAACGGCAGTTTGTGATGCATCCGTCCTGAGAACGAGAGAGTTGCATCAACATCGGTATTTCAATGTGCGTAAGCACGGATGGAGCCGCTAGGATAACGCTGCTAGACTTAAGTTCAGACAACCACAATAGCATCTGCGCTGTTGGCACAACTTTCGAGACTTGGCCGCTTTTAAGAGAAACTCTGTCAACGGGCGCTGAAGCTAGTCGGGAACTAATCTAGGAATGAAACGATTGTAAATAGTTTGACCCATTCCCGACATGGAAACGAGACAGCAAATGTATTTGACAGGACGTGAGGCGAAAAGGAATAATCCGGCGTATTGCCTGCGGTCTTTTTCAGGGAGCTGGGCTGAACTCTAACCATACTGTAGGTCGTAGTTTCGTGCGACCAGAGAAAAGCATCGACACAAGGATTGGAGCCGAAATACATAACATATTATCAACATTAATCGTCACGCCATCCTGGAGACGAACAACGACTCGGAAGTATCAGACGAGAGAGAATGTGACAGGTGTCTTCCTCATCGTTCCGAACTAAGGCGACGAGAATGATCTCGATAGTAGGCGAAGACGAAGTCTAGACCCCTTCTAGGACTTGATCACTGAATCGCTGAAAGGTTCTGGGCAGCGTTCTTCGTGCAATCAGAAGGGCATCACGGACGCAAATTCAAAGAGACCGTCAGGGAGGTACTAATGGCGGTCTTTGGAGAATAGCGATCGTCTCAGGATGCGACAGGGATGTTATGGTAATGCACGAACAGGATCGAAATTGATAGAGAAAAACAAGACTTTCCGATGCGAAAGTTTACTAGAAAAAGCATGGATATGGGAAATAGGGCGGATACTATCAGGAAACAGTGACATTGATTGAGCGCACGGTATCTCGACCAATCATTGTCCTCCAATCGCTGAGTCTTCTTTCGGGCAACGGGGGGGGGGGGGGGGTGGGGGGGGGGGGGGGGGGGGGGGGGGGGGGGGGGGGGGGGGGGGGGGGGCCCAAATGACGGAGATGCCCATGACAGCTTTAGGAAGGAGCCTATGATCCCAGGTAAAGCACGTGATTCGAAAACTCTCGTGGCCGCTTGTTTTTTAGCCCGGGTGAAGAGCGTCCTATGGCTATTGGCAGACACAGAGGACCGATTGTGACGATATGTGACCAAGAATATCGAGCTTGGGCTCTGGATGCACGTCATCTCGCTCTCAAGGAGGGGAGGGGAAATTGTTGCAGACAATAGATGATAGCGTGACTCTTAGAGTCAGAAGTACATAAAGCTATTATGGAATCCGAGACCGTAGCGAGCTGTCCGGAACAGTTAAACGACATATGAGTACCATCATCGAAGACTTGCCACAAATCGCAGGTCTACAACCAACGTAATTTTTGGCGGTGAGAAAAGTCCAACCCAATGATGGGCTTCTGAACATCGGCAATCAAGAAGATGAAGGGGAAATTAACGGCCCGCAAACCAAGAATAAAGTGTCAGCCGCCTTCTGTCGGCCTATAGCGTCGCGCAGACCTCGGTTTGGTTTAGGCTGCCTGTAATGGTAATTCCGGATGGTCGCAGAGCACGTTTTTTCCTAGGGATCTGAGGCTATAAACGCTCACCCCTCGTGCGCCAGTATCAACCAAAACAATGCGAGTTTGGTGGTGGAAATCGAAAACGTACAAGAGGCGACTAATGGGTTTTGGACCATGCAGCAGCTGACGCCATCAACTGGCTGGCGATTGATCGGTTATCGGGGTGGTGGGGGGGGGGGGGGTGGGGGGGGGGGGGGGGGGGGGGGGGAGGGGGGGGGGGGGGGGGGGGGTAATGTGAGGAAGGGGGGGGGGGGGGGGGGGGGTTGGGGTCCAGGGGGTGGGGGATGGGGGGGGAGGGGGCCTGCCGAGGAATCCAAAAACCGTCTTCGGTGTATATAGGCAATTATACAACCTGGACGGACAATACAATTAGCGAGCAGACATGACGCCGCGAAACGGACGGCGGATCTAGTAGACAGAATGATCGCGATCGGCTGGTGCGGGACTAGACTACTGGCGGACGCACTCCCTTGAGTATGAACATCTAACCGGTTAAGCAGATCACGTTCACGGCACCGATGTGAGACACTGAACTAGTTTGCATAACCGAGAGAGTCTGTGTATCAGTAGATATGCTTGCAAGTGCGACGGTACTGCAGATGGACTAGTGGACGCACGGTCCAGTCACATTATTAACAACAGCGATTATGTAAAGATAGCCCGATCATGGACCATTGGGGGGGGGGGGGGGGGGGGGGGGGGTCAACGCCGCTTCGGCTAGTTTGTGCCCAACGGAAGCTCAACAGGAGGGACTGCTAACAATTGGCCGATGGTGTATATGTGTTGGAGAAGGACACTTATTCCAAGATCTGTTCGGAGGATGGAATCGTCCCCAGGGGTACAGAGGAACCCACAAGTGAACAGCATGTGACCGGAGGAGTTGCAGGCGGGCATATGCGGTCACTTCCAAGCTCTATGCCAAGAAAGTAGCATGTGGACAGACGGTGACTTCAACGGAAGCCGGTAAGTGCGTTTTAGGAACGGCTGATTCTGAGCCTATGTCATACGGCGAGCGAACCAGTCGGCATTCGGATACAAGTACTCTCGATCACCTACCGAGGCTATCCTGCGAGGAGACAGATGCAGCGTGGACGGTATGAAAACATCGATGAGTGGCGAAATCGTGATCTTCCGGAAATCGCGGAAGAGTTGGCACTCCACACTGAATAAAACCAAACACGAAGGGTTTAGAAACTATCAAAGGTGGGTACCGCAAAGAGCCAATTAGAGTTTTCACAACGGATATCACGGAGGAGCACCGTACGGACAGACATAAGGAAAAAAAAGAGGAAATAGTAATCAAAAATAATAAAATAGGGCGGCGGTCATCCAAATATAGTGTCTGAGAGAGTTAGACAGAACCGCTGCGAAAAGGAACCTTAGCACATGAGACTAATAAAACGATATAGGCTCAGGGGCGAAGAGAGGAGGGAGATGAGGGACTGGGGGGGAAGGGAAATAAAAGAAAGAAATTATTGATTGGGGAGGGCAGGTCAGGTTACACAAAGAGTTGAAAATCGGCAAAGACCTGTCCGATGACGGAACGGAATACAGCGAACGCATGATCGTAGATAGAGATCACGAACACAACCGATGCGAAGCCCACTAACAACAACTCGAAGGCGAGCAACAACGACCACCGAAACCAGAAGACGAACCGTAAATTCTCCTGAAGAAGAGTATAACTATCATTGTAGTGAAGTATAAAACAAAACGGATACAAAAAAATTGAACGGAGAATGATAGTATAGAGAAGATATTACAACGGAAGATGTAAGAATTTATAAACACTACAATTCGTTGACACTTATCCACTAGGTATATGGCGACCAACCTAACTATGAGATATTTGTTTTTTTACGCGCTAAGTCCCTGGACACTCGTGACTAACGAGTTTCATCTAGGGAATTAACATTGATAGTGCCGCCATCTCGTTAATGCAGACACCTAAGAAAAACACTAGCGTTCCTCTCACCTGTGGGCAAGAGCATCAGCTTGTCTGAGACAACCCAACTTCACCAAAAGACGCAAGCGTAGATAACCATCAACTTGCCTGCATTCTGGTTGTGAAGAAACTATAGCGACATTTAGATGGAAATGTCTGAAGTCACACCTCATATGGCGGAAGAGGGCAGTGAAGGTGATGGGCCAATGGGACTTTCAGCCGGTCGTTCAAAAACACATCGAGGACACAAGCGCGACAGTAAGTGGCCACCAAAGATAAGCTATGGGTGGTATAGCCTTTTCACAAAATGAAAAACTACTTGTCACAATCCTAATTGGACCGTACAGATAACACTCGAAGTCTGACACTGGCAGTTAGTAGACTCAAGAAAATGGGGAGGAAACCGCCATCGGGAGTTTATCCAGCTAAGCCAGGAGGCTGGGCGAAGCCCAGAAAGGGAATTATCCGTAATGCGTTACAAGACAGCACCAGCTGTTGATTCAATCGAACTCAGACAGCTGATCGAAATGAACAATGGTACAAAAGAAACACGGGTTAATCCCCTCGAGCTCTACGTCCCGAGGGGAAACAACCCGAGCGTCGAGTAGGACTAAGCGTGTGAGTACACTAATTGGTTGTAGGGTGGCATACATACATGTGGGTTAATTAGTGACACGTTGTGAGCATGTGATGTGGCCGCTGTGTCCAGCGTCCCCATAGGCTCTACTTCACGATGCCTTTATTGGTGATTTGACTTATCGAACTTATGCCGTCGTTCATTATCACACAGGGCTAGACAGGCACCGGGATTATCAGATCGCGAAGTGGAGAGTACTCTTGCTTATAAATAGCGTGCGACCACTATAAACACTGGGAGGAGGACATCCTATTTACCATGAGTTCTGCTAAATTCATGCGGTATCCTGCTAATCTAAGAGCCATGGGGTAATTGAGATTATAAGTATGTTATCTATCCGATAGCCCATCCATCTACCCGAAAGAGGGACAGGGATCTGACGTACGTTACTATCTGACAGGCGGCAAGCACGCACAACTGAATTTTCTCTGATCAAGCTCGTGACGCTAACCTTCCAGACATGCTGATTGCAGCATGCATGACTAACAGACATGTGGGTACAACTAGAGAGAGTAACTAATAGATTGGATGCACGTAAATGCCTATCGAGCAATAACAGTCCAATGTACCCGACTAGAAGATAGTACTGGGAGTAACCGACCTTTCAACCCTTGATATCAGTGATCGCGCCAGACATGGACACGTTACTGATCCTATGCGTGGAGCAACGCACAGGTAAGAGTAGACCATGTGTGTTTATCGGAACCTATTTCTCGTGGACACACCGAGGGCATGCAAGAGAACCGTCAAATGGGAAGAAGATTATAATCGTATTGATTTACGAAATATGCGGGATCGTTCCCTTCAACACACTTGGGTCGCACTAGAACAGGACCAAGGTCCACATTTTGGAACGAGGTGGCTTCTACTAAAAGTGAGACTTGATACATTGCTGATGAATTTGCTCCATCTTCCGTGTCACTAGGAGGACATCATTGGCGGAATCACACCGATGTTGGGAGGAAGAAAAATTGATAGACAGCGATATGAGGCCAAATAGGACAGTGAGTCGAGAAAATAATCAAGAAATATCGGGGCTTTCGACGCTGGGCTTGACAGTACAACAAAGGGTGGGTCTGAAACATGAGCTACTAATGCTAACAGCGGCAGGCGAGAGTAAGCTCATAGAGCCTTAGGATCTGGAACTAAAACTTGCGAAACTAATTCCAAGTGTTATTAACAGAATTAGTGTCCCAGTCAAAGGACTTCCTTAAGAGAGGTTGGTCCGCTGCTACCTAACCATGGGAGGACGGTACCCAGAGCTGTCAGACGACTAGTCGATGAATAACGTATAGCAAAGTACTGCTAAACGTGTACGACCAAAGCACTGCATCGGAAAGGAATAGTGGGTCACCTTGCCACCACTACTATGCACTGTTTACGTAGTTCGACCAATGAAGTCGCTCACATATGGACCGTAAACGGAACCTGATTGGCCACTCACACAACATACACGTAGAATAAGCACACGCACACACTGCCACTCAAGGACACACCCTAACTTTCCGTGTTTCACAATGTAAAACCGTATTAAGTGTTTTACGAGTATAACTAAACTCGATGCCCAGACTGACGCGTCTACTTGCTTTTATTCAACTACTAGTTGAAATTACCAGTACTTGACAGAGTTATCAGTCCAGACTGTATGATATCTGCGACGGAGGTCAACCATGTCGCAAGACTAATACGTCCAACCGAGTCCTTCTGGGTCGGGCACTAAACCGAGACAACACCTCCCTGGACTACGTGGCTAGATGGCGGAAAACACACTTTACGGACATACACTTAGCAGAATTGCTTCCAAACTGACAATACCAGCAGTATTCTCTTTTACTGAGAAAACCAAAGAGTGAATGCTCTGAGACAGTTTCTCTTGGAGATGAGGGTCAAAGGTATTTCGAGTGCACTTCGCATTGACTCAAAGTCTCTTCTACGATAACACGGCGGACTTATTGGACGACCTTCAGTGGCTCTTTGGGGTGCATCGTCAGACATGTTTATTACAGGCTAGATACTACTTCTCAAAACTCTGTCCAGAAACAGAGAGGTAGTTGAACGAGCGTTCATCGCTCGTGTGTACTAACAAGCAGCACCTAGATTGTAAAACACCATGAAGTCTCCGATTCAACAAGATTTGAAAGAGAGACCATGTTACTACACATGTTATTGGAATAGCAGAATCTCAGAACCCAAGCACGCGGAGAAAGCTCCTATATCACAAACATGATTTAGTTCATCATGACTCCTGGACAGACGCACCTGCCACGGACTTCGCTCCGGCAGAGGGAAAACCTACACAACAACTTCGCAACATTTACCTCAGAAGGATCTCGTCAGTATGAGCTGCGATTAGTTTAACACATCACACAACACCAAAGCCACCCACTGACGTCAATATATGTTTGTGTGCGTAACGCTGTGGTGAGCAGCACCGTGTCCATTCGACCTGCGTCGGCATCCAGATAGACAGTAATGTCGGAACCTGTGCGGCAGGATGGCCACCTAGGCGCGAGATGTGGTAGATCGAGATCAAGCGTCTCGTATTCAGTGGTGAGGCTTTATAACGAGTAGAGACAAACCCCAATCAAACTGGTGGACAGTTACAGTTGATGGTAGCGTGACCCTGAATTACATTCACATTAAGACACTATAATTTACGTTCTACGATATGCAGCCGCGCCAACACTCTAGAGAC